ATACTGTTTGCTTGCTTAACGGTTCTTGCACACACGAAGTGACCAGGTCACAATATTTCTATTCCAGGTGAGTCTACGACTCGAAGCTCTTAACCAATAAACCCGTACTATTCGCCTGGTAGCGTTCCGGGGGGTCAGAAACCTTCTTTTCCGCTATTTACATGACCTGTATTTATACCATTCTACTTATCTACGATTTCCAATCCTTTTACGACTGACTAAGACACTTGCTGACCCAACCAGGCAGGTATGAACTCTCTGCCTGGCAGATATGAGCTCATCGCCGGCAACCAGGTTGATCGATCATATTAGATCCAGCGTTCTGTGATCGGATACCTCCGCCGGGATGCCGGGTGCTTACACTATGTGAGTCACACAGCCTGGGCTTTTGACCTTCCGGGTAGAATATCCGATCTTTGATTTAAGCGTTAGAACAACCTGGTTCTAAGTTCCCTGGCGCTTTCTCCCTTACATCGTAGTTCTTACTCTGTGTTTCTTACTTAGGTTTACAATGTAGTCTTTTTGTATTGCTGTAAAATGTTCATTTACACGCGTTTTTACAGGGTGTACACCCAGCAGGCGTATCAACAGGATTGAGACCCGTAGCTTTGGCTCTCTCATACTCTGATGCCATCGATTTATGAAAAGAAGAGCAGCGACCGCCGACTCCGCGCTGATTAGATAGAACCCTGGGCCAATGGTGCGTGATAGTCAGATATTTCGCACGAGGAGCTAATGGAATCAACAGTTCGAAGGATACCACGAGCAAGAGGTGCACGGCACGATAAGCGAGGCGGTATCATTTCGACATCATCGTGACAGGGCCCGACCGATGCTCTTGAATAGTAACCAAAGTCCAGCTGGATGTTTGAAAGCATGAGCTGTAGCTCTCAGTGAATGGTAGGACGGTGGCTTCTTATTTAAAATCAAGTATATTCATCTCTCCCAGACCAGGTCCAAACAGCTCGAGGGCACGTGATAACCTCTTCCATCGCCTGCTATCTCTCCACCTCCCAGTATCTCTGTACCACCTCCTGTCAATGTGCCTTATGTCAAGTTCCCGCCATTCACAGCGCTTCGACTGTACAACGGCAGACAATCTCGTGCTCTTCCGGAGAATCGCGATATAGTCTAACTGAGTATGTCATATCTTACTCAGCCTTTCTCTCGCTCACTCGCCTATTAGAGTCCGGTCCTAACATCCATGATAACAGCTCCCGACAAATGAGAACGGGGTTTTCAAAGCACCCAAGAAACGCGTGTACTCCATGCAGAGGATGGTTCGCTTTGATTTCTTCTGGCAACGACCTAGCTGACGCTTGCTTAGGTACGGGCTTTTGCTGTAGCAGGGACTGGTGGGGCAAACACTCACTCGCTGTCAAGACACTTTGGTTACTTCGTTATTGGGCTTGAGAGTACTGCATATATGCGTACCGGTTCGTGTGTACGATGTCTCTTCAGCTCAGTGAGAGTCCTGATGAGATCACCGTGACACGAAAAGGATCCTGTAATATCGTAATTGTACGTCCGCCTTTTCATCTCAATATTTAGACTTCTTTCTGACATTATAATTCTAGATACTTCCATGTAGCTACTGTATTGAATACGACCGCATGTCCATCTTACCGAGAGAGACGTGGACACACACGTTCTTACTTATTCCGTTGTTCAACTACCGATGAGCGACAGCATGATATTCCGCACGAGCCTCAATGGGAATCGAACGGCCCAAAACAACGAGGCAATCATGCATGCCACACCCGGCCCCTGAACTACGGCTGCTGCGATGTATGAGTCTGCAGGGATCTGACTATCCACCTCCTTACCCGATAAACATTGAACTTCCCCAGACTTGGTATTGATCCCTGAATCTCATTTCTATCCCCCCAGATTCCGACAAAGCCTGATTCCAACTGACGCTGATTCGTCTTGGCAGGATCCACTTATTCAATTCTTTCTTTTCCGTGTGAACGATATACTGGATCAAGAAGCATAGAACAGTGCAGTAAATCGTTTCTTACCTTTATAAATTCTCTGATCCTAGAACGAGCAGAAGTCCGAAGGATAAAACTTACGAAACAATACCTAGTGGAACAACCAGCCGCTGGAACACGATGCTCCGTTTGACGTACATTTCATGGGCTATTCGATAATTCTCCTACCGCGTTTTCCCCCACGTGCGGTAGAACGGAACGAAACACTGTACATGTGCCCGGGTTGCAGCTCATCTTTATCTTTTTGATCATCTCATTCTGTCATATCTGAATACCCGCTAGTCGTCTTTTCCAGGGCAACGATTCAAAGCTAGGTCTTTGGCGAATCGTGCGTGATGGTGAGTCCTTTGGAGGCGAGATCCAAACGAATTGAAAAACGATTGGCAACACGAGCAAGACACAAGCAGCGTGACGAAGGGCGGTGAGCGAACAGCAGAACGGCAGGCTTCTTCATCCACACTCGCAGGTGGCGCAAGATCCTACCGTAACTGACAGGTCAGGCTCGCCACCCCAGAGAGCAGTAACCTTCAGGACGCTCTTCGAGGAATCTAGTGATGGTACAACCAAATAAGTGAGTTGCGTCTTCCCAGGCCCTTCTCTTGCTCGCATTTCTTTTAGCATCCAGTCCAATCCGCACGTCCATGTTAGCAACATGCAATAAATGGCACGTCACTTAAAGGCCTTCCGAAGGGTATCGGCGTTTTGATTTCCTGAGGCAAAGACGTAGCTGAACCTGTGCTTCCAGTGTGTCTGTACCTGACGGAGTGAACGCTCACCTGCATTCTTTGTCACGTTAAGCTGGGAACAAAGACACATTTTTGCCTCGGTCGTGGAGTTTGGAGGAAAGATTTATACACACAGGTTGGGGAATACGATGTGAGAAATCATCTCATCAGTTCTGTGCGACTACTGATGAGATCTCTCGCCAGGCACTGGTGAAATCCGATTGGGTCGTAACCTATTAAAATCTCGTCACCTAGCTAGGCTGTGATCCCGTTCTATGTTGTAGCGAAGACAGAGGTGTGAAAATTCTCGCTGTTGGGAACATCGAAGCGCAATCTAGATTGAAATAAACAACAGTCTACGACTAGAGTGACAATCGGAAGGACTACCCGGCACCGATACGGAGCTAAGGACCGCCTATTGATCCCGGCTGGCCCTGATCGCTTGAGTTTTGGCCTTCTTGCTGTTCGGCCAAAACCTTCGCGTAAGACATCTTCTAAGGACTGTCAATACCGCTGGGGTTCGATCGACGTGCACGCAATAAGGATGAATGGTTCTGGATTGCATACGACTCACCTATGGAAAGGAATAACGACTACCGACGCCCTCATCACCGAGGACCTTTACATGGCCATTTGGACACAAGAGCGAACTGAAATAGGAAGGATCCCAGTCGCTTTTACTTTCCTGTGGCAAAGACCTACTTCCTCCTTACTTATGGCTAGATACGGTCTCCAATGTTAACACGGTAAGAACCCATCTCGTTGACTCTGCGTAGTTTATGGTGACATCTTTCTCTGCAAACGAATGGTGATAAATCTTAAAATTATAATCGTAGGTCCGCCTTTCCATCTAAATGGTTCGACGATCTGATGACGTCTAATAATAGCATATTTTCATGTAACTACCATGGAGAATACGACTTAGTCTGTTTGTCGGAATCATATCTAGGCGGTGATAAGACAGACGCGTCGTTCCTCCCGCCTATGCTTTACGGAGGAACGGACAATGCTGGTGTCACGTAATCATACCGAAGACCAAACCTTCCGGCGCTCCGCGAAACAGCGGGCTAATTCGTCCTCTGGCCGTTCCAACCCTTCCCGCGCTCAGGACCACACCTTTATCTGCATAACACTGACCAATAATCCGTGTTCTGCTGAGACGGTTGCCCTGTGCAATGGGCATGCCTTGAGCTCATCAGACAAGGTCTGGCCCGTGGTGGACACGATGCATCGGTCAAGATTCCTCCTTCCACCAGTCACTGTGTATCATATCAATACCCTCTGTCGCTGTCTCCGTGGGTATGCCCTCCGTATCTATGATGAAAGGCGAGCCTGGACTAATCATTGTCTAGATATCGACGGTCGTGGAACCTTTCAGCTTTGAAGATCGTCTTTTGCAAAGTTCTTCTCTGTCGCCATTCTCGGTATGATACTTTGCGCTGTCTATTTCTCGGTAAGCCGCCTGCATATTTTCCCAGCCTGTACCACTGTTGTTCAGTTCTTCTTCACACGTCAAAGCTGCTCACCAAGAGCTAGGTGTATGCTTCTTCTGCGACCATCCCAAACTATTCGCTTTCATGTCCTCCTCACAGACGAGTCAATGATTCCAAATTTGCTTGTGAGGTATGGCTGCAGTGACCTTTATTCTTCGTGCTCGGGATTTATCTTTATCGTAGATGGCCTCAACAGTAATCCTTGTTGATATTACCATGGCGGCGCCCTTCAAGCGATGTATTTCGGTGCAGTGAACGCTAAAGAGACTGAGGTAGACGCTTGTTCGCGGAGTATACGTGCACCAGCCGGGCGACTTGTACTTGAGCGCATGGCTACCATGCGCTTTCTAGTGCTTCCTTGCATGCTTCACAATGAAGCTACTGTATCTCCCGCCATATGCTTCAAGACTAAGCTTCGAGGCAAGACTTGAACGTTCCTTTGTCCAGAATAGGCGTCTTGATTCTTGGAGTGGGGTCTGTCCCTTGTCACGTCGGACTTGTCGTATTTTAGTCCTTGAACGCCGCGGAAGACAGTTTTCACGTGAAACGACCTATGGGGGTCAAGGCCGGGGGTACAGAAGGGTCCCCAACGCGTGACTAAAGGGTGATCAAATGCAATGTGAGTGCCTTCTTCACTCAGTGGGGAAGACTTTGCTAAGAATCGGTTAGGGTTAACTAGATGCGGAATATGGAACCAGGGACGAGTTTCCAGTAGATTTAGAGGAAAAGGTCATGCTCATCTCGAAGCCACAAACCATCCTCAGTTGCGTCGCCACTGTAATCTCGTTACGCCCACGGTGAAATGGTTATCATGCTTGCCTTCCATCTGCTCAGAAGGAAGTATACTTCCATCAAGCGGTAGGGGTTCAACTCCCCGAAGGCGTATACGTTGGGGCAACCTTCTTTTTTTTTAAGACGGACTCTTCTATTGCCTAGATTTCCGAGTCTTCCACTGCCAGTTGCTAAACCGACTCGCTCATCAAGCGCTCTATTAGATGTCCTCAATCCCGACTCCCTCAATGGAAGGCCTAAGGAGGCTGCCTACTACCTTTACTTCTTTCTATTGCTCTACCCTTGTACTGGGTCTCTTTGTTCTTCTGCTATATCATTGTCTGAAACATTATCTCTAAAGTAAAAGGTATCCGGCGGTAGGTACAACCGGACATCCATCCTGCTCGGCGAGTTCATCTCTTTCTTTCGCTTCCTGGGATGTTCACTCGTTGACTTGCGGACGACTTTTTATTGAATGACACCATTCCTGCCAGAGGTCTAGACATGCTATATCTTTCTTCTATTCTACGAAGTTTCAGACACGGCACCAGCTTCGACGTTGAATCCGGTCAGTCAAATACAGGGCGCTGGACAACAACCGAACCCGCTGGTGAAAATACTGGACGTGTTGTGACAGGCGTAACATTGCAGCTGCTGGACTCGAGTGCTATGCCGGACTTTACTTACGAGGTATACATAACCCGACCGTCGTGTTCCACGCTTATCAAGTCTGTGGCGCACGCTGAAAGAGTTAGTCTTTCCGCTATCATCGACGTCGCGTTAGAGCTGGGCACCAAGCTTCGCCACTCGGAAGACTATATACCGTGATTGTAGGGTGACGGGTCTCTATAAAGTCCCGGTCTCGCGCAGGCCTAGCCGTAAATGTGGGTTCTAACACTCTGAGTGTCCTCCCCCTCGTACATCTCTGCGTATCTAGGTCATGATGAGACTACGGGTCGCTTGTTCAACCTACACTTCGTGGAAGAACATAGAATGTCGGTCCCACAACCTTCTGAAAAATAGCGGGGCAATTTGCCGTCTCATCGTTGCAGCATTCTCGTATTTAGGCCCATACCTCAAACTCAGAAAATATCAGCTGCTTTCTCCAACTCGCATTTATTCCCGTTTTCATGAATTCGGCTTCGCGTGTACCTGATGTGACTCGTGTCAGCCGTCGGCTAGGACTCATATTTCTTTCATCAGCAGGCAACCTCGCCGTCGCTCCCTGTGAGTGTTCTTCTTCCATTCATCGCGCTCCCCAGCTCATCTGTTACTCGTTTAGACGGGGATACATCTGGGAACGACGTTTCCCCTCTACCAGTCTCATTATCCTATCTTGCTGCCTTGATCTCTGCGAGTATCTATTCTGAAAGTGGTTCATATCTAATCATTGCTTAGACATCGACCGACATAGAGGCGTTCAGCTGTGAGATTTGGGTTTTGCCATTGTGCCATTGTGACGCTGGAAAGCGATTGGCGGTTATACCCGTCAATGGGGATTGAACTGACCAAAACTTTCAAAGCAATTCCTCAGTGCAGCACTCGCCACTAAGGAAAAGTGTTACACCCTTGTGGATGCATTTTGAGCTCACCAAAGAGGCCTCTAGCTTATGGTATTTCGTCAAGACGTCCTTCTTCATCAGCAACTGTGTATCACCGCGATATCCTACATGGCCGTTGTTATCTCCCGATATGTCATCCATATTTATGTAGAAGTATGAGCCTAAACTTATCGCTGTATAGATCTCGACAAGCGTGTAGCCGTTCAGCTATGAAGATCAAATGAGTATGGCTCGTATCCCGTGATCCTTGAAAATATTCGTGAGCTTCTATTCCCGACGCTCCTTTCTGATGTAAAACAATTTCGCCCAGAGATTATATTCGGCGCTCGGGGATGCGACATTCATGAGGATGAGCAGGAGGAGTCGAACTAAGCAAAATATCCAAATTCAAGTCGACACGCACCACTTGGGTCGTTAAGACAATGAAGCGGAGGGACTCTTGTGTCAGTAGGAGAGTAAATCGTAGTCGAGAGACGCGATAAGCGAAGAGGTTTTGTTTCGGTAAATAGGAATGACGGGCCGGCCTCCCATCTAGCGCGTAGGTGGCGTTATTTGCATCTATTTATCTTGCCGAGTCTTACCTCTTACCAAAATTTTGCTCTAGCGTACCTTCACTGGCTTGCGATTATACCGTTGGACTCGTCTGGTGATACACACAGAACGCAGCATGGCTCGCTCATACTCTGACACCATCGATTTATGGAAAGGAACAACGGCGACCAGGACTTTTTGCCAATGGTGCGTGATAATCGGGCGTTTGGAACAGAGAGAGCTGACGGAATTAACAGTTCGTGGGAGACAGCTGGCAACGCGAGAACACTCAAATCTCGACTTACTGGCTCAAATCATGTCAACATCCTCGACTTATCGAAAGGCCCGGCCCACCAGAACAATGGCTTCTTGTAATCCAACACTCGCCCGCTATCTCCCAACCCTCTGGTATGCCTGTAGTGCTTCCTGTCATTGCACATCCCATCATCTGTACGTGCGATAACCTCTCCCGTCGTCTGCTCCGTCTCAATCTCCTGGTATCCTAGTCGCACCTCAGGTCACTATACCTTACATCAGTTCCCGCCAGTCACAGCGCGACGGCTACACTGCAGCAGAGAATATCATGCTCTTCGTATGTCATATCTTACACGCTCCTTCTCTCGCTGATGCATCTTTAGTATCCGGCCATCCCATCCTTGCTAGCAACGCACAACGAATATGACGTCGCTTCGCAGAGAACCCAAGGGCTGCGTATACTCCATGCAGAGGACAAATCTTCCAGTTCGCATCGATTTCTTCTGGCACAGGCGTAGCTGAACCATGCGTAGATACGGGTCACGAGCGCAGCCTGAGGTGTTGAGACCAACGTTAAAAATACACTTGGCTGCTTCGCTTTGTTGTTAGTAGTGAAGGAGAATACCGCATAGATGTGCACCAGTTGGGGAGTACGCGGTCACTTCAGCTCTGTGCGACTTTTGATGGTATTGCGGTGTTTATCATGACCTAAAAACGAGGGTGTCATTGTAATCGTACGTCTACCTTCTTTTCGCAACGGCTTGATCTCCTTCTGACATATCATTATAGCATAATTTCATGTAGCTCCCGTGCTGAATATGAACGGATGTCCATCTTATCCAAAAATGTCAAGTGATAACCTCCACTCTGAGTTCTTTGATACAGCTGTCTGTTCGCTGGAGGTGTAACTAGGTGATGAGATCTCCTCGTCGTTTGCGCAATCCATGGTTCACATAGGAACGAGCCGAGCTGATTGTGCTCGCACATAATCAATGCCAGTTTTACCACGACAACACGTGTTTACGGCTATCATCCTCGCGGCGTCTTCCTTCTCAGCTTCATCTGCCCCTGCAAATCGAAATCCTCATTTCTAGCTGCCCCAACTATAGCTCAGAAGCCCACATCTTCGACTTCTTTATTCTTTGCCATACATGGCACACCGCGCACGTCCGTACATACCAGGGCGACCGCACACGGTATTCACAATCTCAGATAGTGATATACCCACCGTATCTGATCCCGTGCCACGGATGCTTCCACCATCGCCGTGTCTCTCCCTGAACTATCAACGCAACCGTCTCATTGATGAATAGCTCGCGCGTCATATTGGGCGAGTTGAACTGAACGACGAAGTTCTCTCTCTCCATCAAGCCGTTCAAAGAGTCACTCATTAGTGATGGCCTAGCTCACACGAGAGAAGGACGCTGAAACCGCGCACTGTATGCTCACAGAGATCTGAAAGAAGCAATGCGTGGGCGTACTCTTTCCTTCGTCAGGACCGGCCCGATGCCAGGGCAGCCTAGTGATCCCGACTTTTTAATTTCTTATCCGGCCATCACCCGCTCCCTCCATTCTGCCAAACCTTCGCCTCGTCTTCTGCGGCAGTCTGCGTGTGATTACGAGCAGTGCAAGGACGGTGATTACCTGATTACTACTGGGGATAGATCGACGTAAACGCAACAGAGGTGAAAGAAAACCTGCTGTTGCCCTGAGCAACGTCATTTCGACGTCGTCGAGATTTGGAGTGGCATACTGACTACCAATACTGTCATCGTCCAGGAGCTTTGCGTGTGAGCCTCTGGCGCGGGCATTTGGAAACGAGAGCAGCTTCCGGTGAGCGTCGTTTTTACTTTCCTGTGAAAAAGACGTAGTTGAACTTTGCCTACGGCTAGATCTGGGCTCCGAGAGCGATATCACACCCTGTTAAGCCAAGAACGACGATGCTTTTGTAGCACAATAGTGGAGCTGGAGTGTGCAATGAGGAGTACGAGGCAAGAACAACTCTGCTTCACTCATGATGTCATTAAAATTATACCCGTGCGTCCGCCTTTCCATCTAAATGGTTCGACCAACTGATGTCATCTAATGATAGCATATATTCATGTACCTACCGCGGCGAATATAACGAGCCTCCGTTTTTCAGAGGCATATCTAGGTGGTGATAAGGCAGTTGCGTCATTTGTCCAATCTATGTTGTACGGAGGAATGGTCGATTTTAGTCCCATGTATTGAAGCTCAAGCTCAAGAACGAACCCTCCAGCCCTCTGCAAAACAGCGCGCGAAGTCGTCCTTCGGCCGTTCCAGCCCTTCTGGCGCTCAGGACCACAACTTCGTTTAAGGGATTTTCTGCTGCTTTCGCTAACCCGCATTGATATCCCGTTGGCTGGCTTCGCGTATCAAGATTTGGCTACCACCATGTCCGGTCCTGTACGCCTTTTTGTCCATCGGTCTTACTACTCGCGTGGCGAGATAGAACCCGTTCTACTGCGTAAGCTCGTTGGGATTCCGTATTCTGCGGAGATGGTGGTCTCGTGTAGTGGCGCGTGGTGTCAGCTCGTCAAATATGGTCCGGCCCGTAGTGGACGCGATGCTTCCGTCTAGATGCTCCCTCCATCAGTCACCGCGTATCTCCTCGACACCATCTTCAGTCACTCTCTCTGTGAGTAAGCTTTCTGCATGCATGATAAAAGGCGAGCCTGGACTGGTCATTGTCTAGATATCTCCAAACACGGAACCATCCAGTTCGGAAGAACGTCGTTCCCAAAG